GTATCCCAACCCCGAATGAATAAGCATGAGACTTGATTGAAAATCTCAGGACATTGAAATCCCAACCCCTGTCCTACAAGGGACCGAACGTTGCTTGTGTTCTTTTCTAATTTATCTCTTTCTACAAAATATCAAATATTATTGTATATCATGTTCTTTAAGTTTTAAAATTTTTTATATTTTTATTTAGATTTATAAAGAAGGAATTGATGGCTAAGCTATATTTCAAACTTAAGATTTTAATTTTTCTAGGAAAAACTCTACAACTCGAAATATCTCATTTAACTGATAAAAAATCTTCACTTTTTCTCGAAATGTAGCAAAAAAATACTCATTGTCTCTTTCTTCATAAGCTTTTAATGTATTAATTAATAAATAATCTGTAAGTTATAATCTACAAAGAAATATAATCAATCATATATCTTATCACATTAGGTTGCTTAACACATTTGAATTGGGTATAAACTAGTCTAAGTTGCACTTAAATAGCCCACTGTTCACCAGTTTTACAACTAAACACCCTGAGTTCCACTTAAATACCCCACTATTTCACCATATTTACAACAAAACACCCTGAGTTAAAAAAGTAGCATTTTAATATCCTAAGCTGTAAAAAATGGCACATTACTATCTTCTGTTAGTAACCCAGAAGGTAAGATCGGCCAATTGTTCTAATGTTAACATTTTCGAACAAATAATGCTGTTATTAATAAGTTATAGTGTGATTATTACAAAACCTCCTTCAAGTATGATAATTTATTATGAAACCTTCAACATCATCTTTTTCATTATAGCATCCTCTACTAATAAAAAAAATATTAAAACTCATTTAATTTATACCTTTTTCACTAAAATACCCCTCAGTAAAGTTTCGTTTCTTCCTCAAACTACTGCAAAACCTATCACCGCTCCCTCCATATCAAACCTAACTACAACCATTAATTAAAGAGAGAATAAATAGAAGATTAATGTAATATCTTTAACTCTTTGATTTTAGCCTCTACTTGGTGTAATTTCAGTTGGTAACCTATGTATAGTCCTTGGGAGAAAATAGAGTATGTTAAGAGAAAGACGATAATGATAGTTTTGAAATATAGATGCGTTTTAATTTCTTTTTTTAACAGGGTGTTTTGTCATGAAAAAAAATAACGTTAGGAGATTTCATAATAAACTGTCAAACCTAAAGTATCCGGTAATTAATAAGCACCTTGATCACTAATTAGTTGCCAGTCATCAGTAAAATTTGAACACGATTTTTAACATAATCAACTCGAACTTTACGCTTTCCAAAAATAATAAATGTTGAGCCATAAGCAATCCAGCTGTTCGGATCTGGTAGTAGCCCGAGGGCCCAAAACTGGTCTAAGGCCGAGGGCCCAAACCTGCTCTAATTGGGCACATATATTGCAATCCTACTCATAATCATGATTGAAGCCCTCATCATAGTGATGGTAGGATACCCCGCACACCTAATTTTAATGAATCGACGTTGGATTCAAAATCTTCCACATGAATTAGTTACCACTATTACTATACTTATACTGTCAGTATTCCAATTTCTACTTGGGGTAGTATCCCGCAGTCATCTAATCTTGCTTCCTCATACTCTATATATATAAACCCTTCCGCACTTTGTTTTTTAAGACTAACACACCAATTAAAGTGAGAGATTAGAGACAGAAGGCTATCTTAATTGATTTTGAAGCTCTCACACATCAGCGAGGGTTACGCTTTACACTCGGTTTTTCTCTTGAGGTACGTACGCTCTTCAACTAATTAAGATCACCCTCGATCCAATACTTGTTTTTTATTTTCATGAGCTCGCTTTTATCACGTTTTGATTTGATTGTACTTGTGCTTTTTGTTTATCACCATTGTTTTTTTTCCAGGGCTTTAAATTTATTTAGGGTTAATTGTGTAAAGGCTTTGTATTATATGGTTTTTGTCACTTGCTAATCTGAACTTCTAAACTAGCAAATGGATCTCTTGCACTAATAGTCCAATAGACTTATGATGTGGGTCAAAGATTATAATTTAATATCTAGCACGTGGCTGTAAGTTGACCTCTGTTTTTATGGGTCAAAACCTAGACTTCACACCAAAATCTTTTTTTAATTACCCTTATAGCATGTTAAAGATCATTCCACCGTCTAAAATTCCAAATTTAATAGAGAGGGCTGATGGTTATAATTTTAACGTTAATCAACCCATATATCCCACGGATTGTAGTTGGGGTTACCCTGGTCCAGGTCCGGTTCCAACTATGAATCCATGCTTTACTAGCTCGCTACCAGACCCAAAACAGGCCTAATTATGTAACTCATAATCATAGTCATAATATAATCCTAATCCATATCAAAGTCGGATTCAAAGTTTTAATACTAATACTGTTACTACTAGTAACTTATATCAAATCTCTATATAAATTGTTCAACGCTCTGGTTATTAACACGTAAATCAGAGAGAGTCATCATCTCAATTGATTTACTGATCTCGCGTCAGTTAGGACTAGTCTCTGTACTCTGTTTTACGTTCTTGAGGTAAACTCAGATCACTCTTCAGCACTTCGTTTATTTTGAGTTTGGAGGAGTTTGTTTCGTAGTGTTATATACTTTAATTTTGTTTTTTTAATTATAGTTTCTGAGGAATTTTTTCTTTTTTAATTGTAGTTATATCATTCATCTCTTGATAAGTCTAGTTTTAATATTCTAGCTATTGGGTGTGACTTGTTTCGTTGATGGATAGGCTAGTTAATATCAGTTAAAGAAAATAAAAAGAACCTTTTTATTTTGATTATAATCTCTCTACATAATACTAACCACTTATAACATACATCCTCAAAAGTCATGCTTTTTATTTTGATTATAATCTCTCTACATAATACTAACCACTTATAACATACATCCTCAAAAGTCATGATCATATCGAACCTTATTCCTTGTCTTAGCCTTCTGGGGATTTTAATGTATTAATTAATAAATGATTTGTAAGTAATAGTCTACAAAGAAATATAATCAATCATATCTATCTTATCACATTTGGTAGCTTAACACATTCGAATTGGGTATAAACTAGTCTAAGTAGCACTTAAATACCCCATTGTTTCACCACATTTACACATAAACACCCTGAGTTACAAAATGATCATTTTAATACCCTAATTTGTAAAAAATGGCACATTAGTATCTTATGTTAGTTGTCATGGGAATATTCCTAAGAATAAGTCCTAACAACTAACATAAGATATTGATATGCTACTTTCTTACAACTTAGGGTATTAAAGTTCTATTTTCTTATAACTTATGGTACTAATGTGCTACTTTTTACAACTTAGAATATTTAAATGTGAAGGTGGTGAAACAATAGGGTATTTAAGTGCCAGTTTTTAACAACTTACGGTATTAAAGTATTACTTTTTTATAACTTACGATATCAAAGTGTTAATTTTATAACTTAGGATATTTAAATATAAAGATGGAGAATAGTGTATTTAAGTGTCATTTAGCTTATAAACTAACAATATATAAACCAAAGAAATGAAAACAATCCGGAAAACATGGGAATAATACTTATTGCCTTGTGAAAGAAGTAAAACTGCTTTAGTGGCAGAAGCATGGATGCACTATGTCAATTATATATATCTAAAGAGATATACTTAGTTATCATTAGTGATATAAATAATACTATTTTGTATGTGGTTGAAAATTAGTCATTCTTAATTACTCTTTTATTGTCGTTAAATATTTTCTAAATATTTTATTCTTGTATTAAAACTGCTTTCAAAAAAGCTAGGTTTAATAGATAAAAACCATCATTTAAGTTTTCTTAATGCATAAACCATCTTATAAGTATATTTAATTTTCAATCAACCACTCTTAGTTAAACTCTGCTTAATTAAAATTTGATAATTTAAGTTCTCAAGAATTCATCCCAAAAGTGTAGTTTTACTCCGTAGCCCCAAAAGGTTAGATCGGCCAATTGGCCTAGTGTTAACGTTTTCGAACAAATAATGCCATTATTAATAAATTATAAGGTGATTATTACAAAACCTCCTTCAAGTATGATAATTTATTATGAAGCCTTCAACATCATCTTTTTCATTATAGCATCCTCTACTAATAAAAAAAACTATTAAAACTCATTTAATTTATCCTTTTTTCACTAAAATACCCCTCAATAAAGTTTCGTTTCTTCCTCAAACTACTGCAAAACCAATCTCCCCTCCCTTCATATCAAACCTAGGTAATTACAACCATTAATAAAGAGAGAATAAATAGAAGATTAATGTAATATCTTTAACCCTTTGATTTTAGCCTCTACTTGGTGTAATTTCAGTTGGTAACCTATGTCTAGTCCTTGGGAGAAAATAGAGTATGTTAAGAGAAAGACGATAAGGATAGTTTTGAAATATAGATGCGTTTTAATTTCTTTTTTTAACAGGATGTTTTGTAATGAAAAAAAATAACGTTAGGAGATTTCATAATAAACTGTCAAACCTAAAGTATCCGGTAATTAATAAGCACCTTGATCACTAATTAGTTGCCAGTCATCAGTAAAATTTGAACACGGTTTTTAACATAATCAACTCGAACTTTACGCTTTCCGAAAATAATAAATATTGAGCCATAAGCAATCCAGCTGTTCGGATCCGGTAGTAGCCCGAGGGCCCAAAACTGGTCTAAGGCCGGGGAGCCCAAACCTGCTCTAATTGGGCATAAATATTGCAATCCTAGTCGTAATCATGATTGAAGCCCTCATCATAGTGATGGTAGGATTACCCCGCACACCTAATTTGATGAATCAACATCGGATTCAAAATCTTCCACACGCATTAATTACCACTATTACTATACTTATACTGTCAGTATTCCTATTTCTACTTGGGGTAGTATCCCGCAGTCATCAAATCATGCTTCCTCATACTCTATATATATAAACCCTTCCACACTTTGTTTTTTAAGACTAACACACCAATTAAAGTGAGAGATTAGAGACAGAAGGCTATCTTATATAATTGATTGTGAAGCTCTCACACATCAGCGAGGGTTACGCTTTACACTCTGTTTTTCTCTTGAGGTACGTAAACTCTTCAACTAATTAAGATCACCCTCGATCCAATACTTTTTTATTTTATTTTCATGAGCTCGCTTTTATCACGTTTTGATTTGATTGTACTTGTGCTTTTTGTTTATCACCATTGTTTTTTTTTTCCAGGGCTTTAAATTTATTTAGGGTTAATTGTGTAAAGGCTTTGTATTATATGGTTTTTGTCACTTGCTAATCTGAACTTCTAACCTAGCAAATGGATCTCTTCCACTAATAGTCCTATAGACTTATGATGTGGGTCGAAGATTATAATTTAATATCTAGCACGTGACTGTAAGTTGACCTCTCTTTTATTACGGGTCAAAACCTAGACTTCACACCAAAATCCTTTTTAATTACCCTTATAGCATGTTAAAGATCATTCCACCGTCTAAAATTCCAAATTTAATAGAGAGGGCCAAGGGTTATAATTTTAACGCTAATCAACCCATATATCCCACAGATTGTAGTTGGGGTTACCCTGGTCCAGGTCCGGTTCCAACTATGAATCCATGCCTTACTCGCTACCAGACCCAAAACAGGCCTAATTATGTGACTCCTAATCATAGTCATAATATAATCCTAATCCATATCAAAGTCGGATTCAAACTTTTTAATACTAATACTGTTACTACTAGTAACTTATATCAAATCTCTATATAAACTGTTCAACGCTCTGGTTATTAACACGTAAATCAGAGGAGGAAAAGCACGCCTTTGTATACCCCCTTCTGCCTCCCCCTCTCTCATAATCAAAATCATTTTCTTTTTCTTCTGATCTCGATCTCTTTCTCTTCCAAAAAAACACTTAGGTTAGGCTTTCGTTGTTGTCTTAGGGAATTTTTGCGATGGCTTTCAAGGGGACGCTTCAATTTCTGGTTGCCATGGGGGATCGATTCGAGCGTGAGAGGGCAAGATACAACGAGTTCTTCCAAATTTTCATGGATTTTAAGGATGTTGACAAAAGGTTAGTTAATCTTTTAGTTATATCATTTTCACTATCTTTTTATGCGTTTTTAAAGAATTTTTATTTTCTGTTCGTCAGGGGCTGATTATGTTCGATTGATTTCAGAGTTGATGGAGATGATATTATTCGAAGAACAGAGGAATTATTCGATGGAGAGGAGATTATGGTGATGGGTTTTTACAACTTGATGCTCGATACCAAGAGAAAATGTAGGAAGCCCGATGATTTGGGAGAAGTTTTCAACCGTGTCCTCCTGGAAATGGTAAAATTCAACTCTTTTCTCCTTGCTTTATTACACATATATTTCCATTGCCTAATCACTATCATGCGACCTGTACGTAGATCATAGAATCTGCGGTTTATTTGTGCAAGTCTAATGGTAGATTCTTTTGTTATGCAATAAGCCCTAGACGTCCAAAGGTTCTGATCTCTTCTCGAAGTTATAGTTTAGGCACTTCGATTTAAGATCAGAACTTCTCCCATTTATAAAACAATCAAGATTTCATTATAGGCCAGGTATTTACCTTTACGATTTTGATGAACCTAGATACAATTGCTTAGAACAATTATTAGACAATTATGTATGGCATCATATATTTGTTTGGCTTTTGCTTCAATGTACTTGATTTTGCGTGGATGTCAGGAGATATCAACGATCTGAAGTTTGAAAACTAGTGAAAGTTGATATGATATCCTGAGTTTTGCTAAGTTTGGCACTAGAAATATGAGTTTATATAGTATAAGGTTCTATTAGAATCCTGTTTAAACTGTGACAAACAACACTATAGTATTAAGACATGCGCGGTGGATGTGTTAGAAGATGAAACCGTCATCAATTAAGATTTATTTGGGATAGTAATTCCTTTAAGAAGATGTTTTTAATATTTATAAATCAGGTTATATCGCTATCTTCAGACTGTGGCCTATCCTTTATAAAATTCTAATTCCTCTGTAAGTTGATAGTGGTGATATGAGTTTTTATGGTAATGTTCTTACACTGTGCTATTTCGGATCTTGTTTTGTTTCTATGATATTCTTTTAACACACTATTGCCATTAAAATATGTTCAAAGGGTGTGTGTTACGTAGTAGATGGAATATCAGGGGTTGAAGTGTACATGTGATACTAATTATTTTATGAAATTTGGTATTGTTATTGAGTTATTTTTGCAACATTATAATTATTGATTGTAGCCTAACTAACAATATTTTTTTGTCTGTAGATGCATCAAAATCAGAATTGCAACCATGAACAAAATATAACGCAAGAAAATCAGGACTGTCAATCTGAAATTAATGAATACAGCATGACTGACCTATATAAAAGTAAAGCACGCTCGGAGAAGAAAAGAAAGCGAAATAACAGTAATGACTCAGCCTCCACTCTAATGGATGACACTTTTCGAAAGTGCAGATCCTCATCGAACAAAGAAACCCCGAGTTACAAGTTTCTCCGTGAGGTGATTTTCTGAATTTCTTGTTTAATTGTATTTGCTACTGTCTAGCCTAGGCTAACTGTTTGTTCTCTATAATGGAAGCCCACATCACTTCATTCTAGCAACTCACCAGAGCTGAATGAACTGAATGATTCTTGTTATTTAGCCGTTAAATGCAACAGAAATACTATTCGGAAGATAAATGAATATGAGCAAACATTATTTGACTGCGAAGATGATATGTATGTATGCAACTCCTCTAACTATTGAAATGTTTCCTTACTTCTGTTTTGTGCATATGTGTGCTAATCCACTTATTGAACTTTATTTAGGTTTGAGCTTGATATGCTGGTGGAGAGAGTGAAAGCAACTACTAGAAAATTGGGGGAGGATATAGAAAAGAATCCTGATGGACAAAACTTTATCAAACTGATAAAGCTAGAATCGACAACAAACTTTAACTGTAAGTATGACTGGTATTGAATTACTAATACCAAATAAGTATATACCTTTTGGTCTTTGATTTACATGTGAATCTCAACTGTGTATTTCTTTTTCTTATTGAACAGCTGCCAACTTGCGTTGTTTGTTGAACTTTTACAATTGTGGTGTCGCCAAAATCATGGATTCTATAAGGGAGGACCCCGCCACAGAATTACGGAGAATATATGAAGATATGAAGCACTGGGCTGAGGTATTGTTGGAGCAGCGTGAAGAAGCACACAAAATTTGCGAGGATGTTTTTGTCGAGAACTATCCTAAAATGTATAAAAGTGGCTAGGTTGGCTTGAAGCATCAAAGTTCAGATATCTCAAGCAAGAAGTCTAGGCTGCTGTCATTCTGATGTGGATAATGGCCTTTTTTTCTTTTTATCGTATTTGAATGGTCATAGTTGTTGTAGACCATAAAATCTGGGCTTGATGATTCTAATTCTAAATTTTCAATAATCTATTCTCTTTTCCAGTCATTGTATTTGTACGTAATATTTGAGTTGTTCTCTTTAACAATTTCACATTACAGACCAACGTATGACTGATAAGATATATGTGTAATGTTGATACGGTTTTGCTGAGGAAAACCAAAGCATAATTGAACAATCTTTTTTTCATTTTCTGTATTTGAATAATTTAGTTGATTTAGCAAGAAACTCTGAGCTTGTGGCCTCTAGTTCTGAAATTTTAGTTCTCTCTCTTTTTCCATATCTTTGGCCCTGTATATTACATAATTGAGTTGATCTACATAAAAATATAACTTTAGCAATGTACATATTGATAGATGAGATGCTTGACATTCATCATACTAATAAATTCAGTTGGTGTAGAGCAAAGAATTTTATAAATCATTGTGTTTGTATTTTAACTGAGTTGTTCTCTTTGGCAATTTCACATCTGTAAAGTAGATAGGGCCGATGAGAAAGAAACATATTTGGAAGGTTCTTTTTTATGGAAAAGACTAATTTAATTGTTATAATATCTGAAAGAAAGATATCCAAATGTTTATGTACTTCACTTTTTTTAATGTCTTTGGCTCTTTGGTTATAAAGACCATTAGTTTTCTGGGTTATTGAAAGAATGCCTGATTATTTATGTTGCGGAACATTGAGATTCCTCATGTTTGTTTCTTTGTTAGCTGATCAACTATAGTTACTTTGTTGAATTATTTTCTTTAAAATTCACATATTCTAGCAGCTTACTATGAATATTGACACATACTTTGTTAAAAAAAACAAATCCTACATTGGATTTAGTTTATGCAAATACATTCCCATAATTTTGGGATTGTTAAACCTTGAAACCACCAAGAATGGAGAAAACTCTTTACAGTTCTTAAATACATACATTTCCTCTAAGAGACTGTTTAGTTTGTGGAAAACACCCCCATAAAACTGGTTTTTGGGTCACGACACGTTTGGAAACCAAATTAAAGTAGCTAAGATGTTTTTGTTTCTTTAGTTTTGCTTGCGAGAAAATTTATAGAAACACATGAAGAAAACATGTGACACAAAAGTCTTTTCTAAACTTTGGTCCCGAAAATGGGTTGGAAATCTATTATTAAGCATAAAAATAATAGGGGCATTAGAGGACATGTATGTTTAGGCTTCCACTTTGTTAGTTTTCAGCCAAACAATGGTTTGACATAACCTTATTTTCCACCTTTGATTTAAGGGCAAAACAAACATAAAAATTACTTTACCAAGAAATTGCTAGAAATGCAAGAAAGATTTTTTATTTATTTTTTTTATTTTTAAGGAAATATATCTCCCATAATTTTTGGAAAACAACCACTAATGATAAAATTTTATTCATCATATCATGTAATATAAGATAAAAGGCCTGTTGTTTTATTACCAAAATCATATCCTTTGAGACATCAAGAATTAGAAAAAGACTCAGAGAGTTTGATGAAAGAGATTTGCGAACGAATTTCTAGCTATTGTTTTCCTTCTTCAAAGAATAAATGATAAAGATCTACTTGTATTACATTGATTCTATCACATAAAATAGGACTATATTTGACATCATGCTCACTCATTTACAAAATACAACATATTTCTCACACTTTTTTATAGACTTAGTGTGACTAGGACCTTTATCTAGCCTTCGAACCTGGTAGTAAAATTAATACAGACACTTCCAACGTTTTGTAGCATGTACTTGCATGTGACTTAGCTAACAACTTGTGGTAAAAATACGAATATGGACACTCGACTCGGCTGGCAGTATTAATATAGCAAACCTCCGATAACTTTCAAAATTGAATTAAACTCCCAATAACTTTTGCAAAAAAACCCAAATACCTCTTGGATAAATTACACTAAACCCCAAAAACCTTTTTAAATAACAAAACGCCAATAACTTTCAAATTGACCTATTATGTTGTCTTTTGGTTCGAGTTTGTTGGGGCTATTTGCAAAACGTAGAAACTTATTGAGGATTTTCTATAATTCCAAATATTTCTCAGGGTCTATTGCAATTTTGAAAGTTGTTGTTGCAAAATGTTGGAAGTTCTCGGGGTTTAGTATAATTTATCCTTTTCTACTCTCTTGTAAATAAATTATTCATCACTGGAGAGTATGTGGTTCGAAAGTCATAGGGGGTGAATAAAATGGAGAATTCAAGTTTATTGTATTGTTATGCTGTCAGTGTTGGGATAATTTCTATAAAGGACCAATGATGATTTATGAATCTAATTGTGCAATTAAGGCTAAAGGTTTTCAAATATGAAATCTATGAACAAAAGTGTTACAATGTACAATGGAATGGCTGAGCTATGAGAAGTGAGAATTACTTCTATTGGTAATAACGACATTGACTTGATAAGATAATGGGTGTCAAAGAACAATACAATTACTCTCGAGAAGAAAAAATACATGTCACTTTTCCTGCATATTGTTAATTCTTGAACGCGTAACCATTAATAGTTGGAAAAATTGTGTTATGGCCCTAAAAATGAAAACTTGAAGTGACCTAGCCCCCCGTATTATTATTTTTCCATGTGTATTAGCCCTAAATATATTGGTTATATGTGATTCAGCCCCTATTTGCACTTCCCAAGAGAAAATATCCAAAAAAAATCCATCAATGCCCCTCTTCTTCTTCATCTTTTTCTCTACCTTTTTATTCCTCATGGAAACAACAACTCCCTCATCTCCTCCCCTTCTTCTCTGCCTAATCTTCCTCCCCTCTCCCTCTTACCTCCTTTTCTCCTCTGCTCATCCCCCTACGTCTCCCTCTCCCGCCTCCCCCTCCGCCACCACCGAGCACCCTCCGACCCCCATCATCTTAGTCTAGCATTAAGAAGACATAGAGAGGAGGAGGAGAAGTGGTCAGTGAGATGGATAGAGAGGAATATGGAGGAGTAGAAGAGAAGGTAAGAGATGTCAAGCTCATCGACCCACTAAGACATCCATGGTGAGGAGGAGGTAAAGGGAGATCAAGAGGGGTATAAATAGATTTGGTGATGGGGGTGTTGGGAAAAATAAGAATAAAAACAGATCCAAAAATAAGCAGAACAAACCACATAGGAATGGGGAAAAAAAGCAGAGAGTTAAGAACACCATTATAGTTTAACTTAAAGTTTGAGATACATTACAGAAATGCCAAATCACTCTCTAAATAGAGGACTGACCTTGAAGAAATTATGTCCCACCTATGATATTATTGACTCTGCACAATACTTTTAAGGATGAGACGGCTGTATTCCAAGGAAGTACTCTCTTCTGCTGAACTTCAGTTCACTAGAATCTTCAATACTAACAGTTTATAGAATTGTAAAAGAAGACAAGAGGATAATTCATTTTTTGTTTTCTGTGTCTTTTAAAATGATCAGAGGAGGCCCTCTTTATAAGGTTCATGTGAGCTAAAGGGTTAGACAAAGCTTTGAATACCAGCCATTGTAACGTTTATAACATCTGCAATAACTATCATTCAAACCTTGTAGCATTTGTAATGTACAAAATGTTCAGGCTGGATTAAATACAACACACGCAAAAGGATCACACACTAGTGCACGAGTCGGATCACAAGCTAGACCACACACCCAGACCACACGCTAGAATCATGCATCTGTATGGCACACCTGGACCACATGCTCAGACCACACGCCCTGACTACGCACCCACACTGCTCAATTGAACCCGCGCACACGAACTTGCACGCATATATCCACATGCACGGACCAGCACACATGTGCCTGCTCGCTTATATACCAACACAAGCGTACAATCCTAACACCTTTGTTATACCATATATAACACATATTAATTTGAACTAACTAAAATGTATTCAATTAGTCAATGTGGGACTAACTAACATATTACTAATTAGACATATTTTAATTTTTATGTATAGAGTCCAACCATATAAATGGTGTCTTTCCATAAAAATCCTTCATTATTCATTTATATCAACAATCACACACAATTCCATAGCTAAAAGTAAAGAAGAGTGTACATATCATGCTTTTGGAGAAGGTATCTTCCAATTTGAACCTTCCCTATATTTATCCAATTTTATCACCACATGCACAAAGTGAAGCTAATTCTTGAACTTAAACCTTTGATTTGGTGATATTCATTGGTAACAACATGATATATGCTGTAGTAGCAATCTTTAGGTTTGATGCATTATGGTCATGCGTCCTTATCCTTTTCATGAATATTTTTAAGGAATAACCTACTTCCTCTAATTGCGGCCACACAATTATATTCACATAGTTGGGCATCTCTAGGGATACACTGCTTGCATCTCATCTTAAATACTTGATCCAATTCAGAGTCAATACACTCTTACTATACTAGCAGTTAATAATATCTTCTAGGTATACATGATGATAGACTCAGACACAAAGTATCAATCTATGATTAAGTGTTCAACATACACAACAGTTTGTTGTTATCACATTGAACCTACTTTGTGGGATCTCCACTCAGATAGGTTGGGTTGCTATCATCGATGAGTTAGGTAACAGTTTTAGTCCCATTATCAATCTTTATTTAAAAACTAGTGACAACTCAAGTCTTTTTGTAAAGGTATCTGCTATGTTATCCTTAGATTTGACAAAGTCCACAGCAATTATCCCTTCATCAACAAACTTTTTCACGGTCATTATCTATACTTGGATATAACCTTGAGTTTTGCGATTATACTTTGAACTTTTAATCCTTAAAATCGTGGTCATATTGTCACAATGCACAAAGATTGTAGGATTAGGCTTTCTGATCATGGGTAGCTAGGACATAAGTCCCTTAAGCCAATCAGCTTCTAAACTTGGTGTCCAAAGTGCATAGCTCTACCTCAAAAGTAGACCGAGACAAAATAGTCTGTTTGATAGATCTCCACGTGACTGCGCCACCACCCAAGGTAAATATATACCTTGTATAACCATTGCTATCTGAACCCATAGCAATC